GTCATACTTGTGGAAATCCACCTCATCAACCGGTATGTGGCGAGATAAACTAGGCCATATTTTATTTAGTAGCCATAACTGCCTGGATTTCCAGGAATTTTTTTTCTATACTCGTCTGGATTTCCAGATTCTTTCTCCATATACAGTTGGAATTCCGAAGTATTTTCCCCATCATACAGTGCTGGAAATCCGACCACATCAACAGGGGGGTGCAGATATAAACTGGAATGGCCCATTGTCGAGCAGAGCTTATCATACATGTATGTGAGATTTTCCTTCAGCATCGCCGCCGTCCGAGTCAACTTTTTCCTTTTTTTGACAACTAAAAGTCTGAATGCTTGTGTAGACCTCTCTTAGTTTGGTTCATTTCATGATGATATCTTCAAATCTCAAATTTTGGTGAATATTTTTGGTAAAAAAGGATATTTTCTACTTCTACGAGTTGAATTGCATACACATAACAGTTTTGCGCTGTATAATCTGAGTCTCATACCTTTATGTTAATTTTACTAATTATACTCAGTGACTTGTTTGAAAAAAATATTAGTGAAAGATACTCGTAATACCTGGGTGATGGTACAGTAGTTAGTGTTCACACTGAGGATGTTCTGAGCTTGATTGTAGGAGCCAATGGTTTACTCAGTAGTATAAATGCAAGTACAATATGCCCTGCTTTATAAACATGCAGTATTAGGTTTTGGATACTGCTTTGCACTTGTATCATGAGAGCAAACAATTTCAGAGACAGCAGTTACTTCCATGTCTGGAAATCTACCTCTGCAAAGTATTATTTAGAAATAAAAATGCTTATTGAAGTACATTAGAAATTGCTAGTCGTATACAATTCTTCTAGTAAGTAACAAGATCTTTGTGTTTAACTGCAGCCTCCACCGATAATGAAAAGAAATGGAGAAGTTTATTTTACTAAACTTGGACGGAAACAAGACAGTAAAGGTGATTTTCAACATATTGCTATGGTAACTTCTCCAAAGGTGAGTAATTTCTCATTTTATATACTAAATTGCATTAACAATATACATACAAATAGTTACCAAGGTGGAGGTCAATATTCAGTTTTGATGACCCCTAGATGAAATTATTGCCCAAAGCACATCTAAACTGAATATTGACCGAACACTGAGGTAACTATTTGTTTTATTATAATACCAAATAAATAAAATACGTACAACAATGTATTCAATTAAGAACATCTTAACATTTGTATTCTTTATTGTGACATATTGATGTATCAATATTTATACATGTATATTATAAAACATAAACAAACTACTACTGTTATTGTTTATAAAATATGTTGCCAGTAATTC